ATGGGCATGTTATGGACAACGAACACAGGTGCATTTTATTGACGGCATTTTGAATGCAGAGATACCATGATGAGATCCTAAGATCATGCCATTCATGCACAACCATCACGTTGCAAAGATCTAGACACAATTCCCGGAAGCTGATATCATCCCAGGTCTTGCATGGCCAGCATACTCACCGGACATGTCACCCATTGAGCATGTTTGGGATGCTCTAGATCGGCGTATATGACACCGTGTTCCAGGTCCTGCCAAAATCCAGAAACTTCACACAGCCAGTGAAAAGGGACCAACTCCACAGGCCACAATCAACAACCTGATCAACTCTGTGTGAAGGAGATGTGTTGCTCTGCGTGAGGCAAATGGTGGTCACACCAGATACTGACTGGTTTTCATGACCACCCACTCTATATACAAATAATGGGTTCTTCATTCAATGTCACTGTAATTAAATGTGTTATTGTTTAATTAGCTTATATGTAAAGAGTTAGATGATGCTTTGTTAACAAATTATTAACCTTAAAGTCCCCCAGTAGTCAATAATTGTATCCCTTGATCACAAAAAAATACATTTAAGAGTTCATACCTTAATACCTTCATACCTTAAAATAGCTTGTATGTTACTCTTCACCCTTGCCTCATTTAGTATACGTGATTCTATGATTATGCAAATGATCCCTGCACCAGCTCAGAGATCCAAGGTCGTTTATGACGTCAGAAACACCAGAGATTTCAAACCGTGTTTTTTGAGACTGTCTTTGGTTCACAGCAGTTTTAAGGAGAAAATACTCAGGTGTTGACTAATGAATTTGCACATGTTTTTCAACAGGTTTAAAGCACTTAATTCCTTTTAAAACAAAGCATGATTTAGTTCTTCATATATGAGCTAATTAAACAATAATAATTGGTCAATTACAGTGACAATGTATGAAGAACTCATTGTTTGTATATAGTCTATTAATGCATTAACAGTAGATTATAAACTATTAATTAAACATTGTTACTCAAAGGGGTATACAAAAGAGAGGGGGTATGAACAAATGCCCGATCACTGTGCTGTGAAATTAACTAAGCGAGCTTGGCTATAACCAAAGGTTGCATTCACCGCACTGAGTGACCAATAACTTACATGAGTACTAAAATACTGCTACTCCAACCATAACAATCCCTCGGCTATAAGCTCTAAAGGGCAACCTAACCAAAGGGAGCATGTAATTAAGCATCCCGTCCTAAAGGATTAGAAGAGGCCTCAGGAGAGACCCTCAAGTCTCCTCAAGGAGAAATAGCAAAAGTACTCTTGGGAGACCTGGCGAGAGAGGACCAAGAGTGGAACACCTACGCCAGCTCTACATTTCCATGCTCTCCATTGACGATCATCAAAGAATCAAGCTGAAAAAGCTAGACTTCCACGGCTAGAGAAGGCCACACAGTAGGAGCGACACCCGCTGCGATTGTGACTGCTGAACTGAACCCCAAGAGAAGCACTCTACCTGTTAGTCAGGTCTCCCTAGGAAATGAGCCAATGTATTCCCATCAATCTACAACATTCAGTGTAAACCGGAAGGTATAGCGCCGCTCTCAACTACTCTCTACCAAGTTGCCCCCAAGTTTCCCATTGCTTACAGTTCTAGCGAGAAGGCTTAGATGCATATCCACCTCTCGCCAAAGTGCTGAAGGACTCTGCCTATGTATTTATGGAGCGTCATTCCATTGCTCGTCATGAACAGATAGGAAATGTGTTAACAGCTCCACCACTTTGTCCATTTTATTACCTACGGGGTTCATGCTGGAGGTATGAAAGATGAGGGAGTGAAACTCATCTTCTGTACCGCCAATTCTTATGTGATTACATGAGGAAGCACATCGTGGAGATCAGGAAGAAATTGAAGGCTCATGCGTTTAGCGCTTATGTCCTGAGAGGAATGGCTGATATAATCCGCCTGGAGCACATTCATCCTTTTCTCTAAGGTGGGGGAGGTGAGGGGTTTACTCAAAACTCCCGTCACGTCTAACTGGTCGCTTTCAAGAAAAGTCTGGTCACTAGGCGGCCAGATTTACAATACCTACGGGCAGCTATTTCAAGCATCCAAGACCAAGCCTTATCTATTTGAATCCTGACATCTCAAAAACTGCTTGCCGAACTCACGATTAAATAACATATTTCAAATCAGCAACAAAATCTGACATGAACTGTCCCATAAATGTTGTTTCTTATGCTCAAATAGCATGAAAAAAATCTTCATTTTTAGGCTAGACCAGCCAATGTGCTTGTGCAGTCCTAAGTGCGAGTCTTCTAACGGCAGCTGTAGTGACGCAATGACTTTGCCAATCTGAAATTGGCTCTTTTACTTAGAAGGCAAATTGTGAGTTGCAGTTTTTCCAATTCATAAGTAATAGAAGTGAACCATCTTTCTATATAGTCTTTGGTCTAACTCATTAGAACAATAACAAGCTCTCTGCCAGATCGGAAGAAGCGGCCAAGCGAGTTTCCAGATCAGGCATGAGAGCGGCTAAGCTAGTGAATGAATTTTGGGACCCATCTCTTATTCCTCCGCCAGTTCCATTTGCAAAACCCATGATCTAAATCACAGCAACGGGGCAGGCACCACGGGGTGCTTATCTCCCTTAAAGAAAGCCAGGTGGAAGTAGAGCTTCATCACTGTAAAACAGTCACAGTGAACACAGCTAGCCCCCTTTGAGAGCTGACCGTGCATATGCTCCGCTCCAAGACAAATGACACACATCTCGTAAGTATCCTCTACTTGTAATGAAATGAGGTCAGGGCATGATACATTTTCTAACCCACTTTTTCTTTTCATGCGGCATGATATTTTTCTAATTCGGAGAGAATCACAGGTTCAGATTTCACATGCACACACTCATACAAAGTGACTTCCTGAAGACAAAAGAGCTGATGACATTTTCTTCTGTGATGTCACCTAACTGCCATAGTCGATCAAAATTGCCGTGTATTCCCACGTGTTTTAGACACCGGTGCGTTCCCACATAGCATCAACACCATGACGCAGCGTCGAAGTTCCACTTCGGAACATTGTGGTTATCATCTGAAATAAACTGCTTATGCTATTTAGATTTTATTTGGTTTTCTGTTTTGGAAATTGCAAACCAGTTCTATAGAACCTACATCAATAAAAAATCTTTTGATAATCTGTTAATAGTACAATGCAATACAATAGCATTAAACTGAACAAGGCGACATGCAAATGAAACATTTGATAGCAATGGCATAATGAAAGACAGTTACTGTGAATTACAGTAAAAATGATACTTTTTATAGATTTAGACAGAAAATGTAAAAATGCTTGGCGAAAAAAAATATTTTTGATTATAAGATTAGTACTATGAGTTTTGAAAATGTACCATTAGTTTGTAGACGGTAGACAATTACCATAGTGTGAAGACAATTACCATAGTATGAAGTATGGATGTGCCCGAAGCTGAATACCTTATCAGTAAAGGCATGGATAATGGCTTCAAAACAAATAATGAATTCTATCGAATAAAGGAAAAATATTCGGCAGGCACAGTCAGTCCTCATATTTGCTGGATAACAGCTGAGGCGGGGGACAGCACAACATTATACATAAGTGTGTGAAGTGAATGAGTTTAAACTGAATAAAATGAGCACTGCACGATCGATTCAATCAGACTAGACCATCGAGACTATCGATACCGAAAACGAGAAGAAATGGTATAATTATAATTCTGTCAGGACCACATATTGGTTTCACTGGACACCCCTAGTATAAAGGAAATAATTGCCACTTTAAAACGTCTCTTACCATGATTTAATTGTGATCGAAAAATGCATTTGGAAAGTAAATATAATTAAGCTACTGGCCATTGATTTAGTTTTTTTGGTGTAATAAATAACTTATAAAAGCTTACATGGTTTAAATCCTAATAAAATAATAACAGTGTGACGGTCTGTCATGGGTAGCATGTACCTAAATCAAAAGATGAGATGCATGATGCAGAATGATGATGAAACAAGAAACTTTAAAGGCATAGTTCACTTTGAAATTAATGTTTGATTTGTTTTATCTTACCTCAAGGGCATCCAAGACGTAGGTGTCTTTGTTTCCACAGTAGTTTTTAATTTTTATTTTTAGGTCAAACCGTTCTTGTCTGTCAGTCATATAATGCAGGTCTATGGTCACCACCTCAAAGAGCATGCACAGAGAAAACCAAATTAAACATGATTTAATGACTCGTGAATGTAAGTACACATTGACGGCCTAAGACACGAAACGAGCGGTTTGTGTGAGAAAACCAACAGTATTTATATCGTTTTGACCTCTTGTTACCACACGCCCGCTGCCTCAGATCACTTGGACGTGGCTGTGGTTACAAGAGGTAAAAACAAAATAAATACTGTTCGTTTTCTCACACAAACCGCTCGTTTCGTGTCTTAGGCCGTCAATGTGTACTTACATTTACGAGTCATTAAATCATGTTTAATTTGGACTTCTCTGTGCATGCTCTTTGAGGTGGTGACCATAGACCTCCATTATATGACTGATGGACAAGAACAGTTTGACCTAAAATTATCAAAATTGAAAATACTGTGGAAACAAAGACACCTACATCTTGGATGCCCTTGAGGTAAGCTAAAACATACCAAAAATTAATATCAAAGTGAACTATACCTTTTAATACACGCGGATAATTAAAGAAAGAGGTGTGTAACTAATCAAACCATGGAAACAAACTAGAAACGAGAACTAATAGGATCAGGGAGAACCATGAAAACGAAATTAAACAGAACATGAGAATGAGACTATTAAGATCACAACGCCCTCGCTGACGTGAGTGCATCAAATCAGAGAGATACAAACCGCCATGTGTTTGGACTACATTTACCATCAGAAGTTAATCTGGAAAGCCATTTTCTTGTTACCGTTAAATCCAAAGAACTCCCCCAAGGCTGAAAACTGGGACACGTGTGTATAAAGCATTAGTGAAACTTCTGTACCCACCTCCTAGACCAGGCCGAAGACGGTTGTCATAGCCATCGAGGAGGCTGTCCAGAATCCTGGTGAAAACTGTGGTGTTGTCTTTCTGCTCATCTGCATTCTGACTGGAGCTGACAATGTAAAACAGCAGATGTTTAATTCAAAACCCAATAATCAACAGCAAAGGATAGCTAGAACACTAGATCCTGTTGTGTAAAATCAGCACCCTCCTCGGGGTAATTCTCAAACATCCAGCCTGTTTAAAGAGAATTTGCAATGTATTAGCCCGAAGACAAAAAAACAAGTCTCCTTCCATCTAAGGAGCAAAGTGGTATAATCAGAGGAACAATGCATTATTAATTAGCCAAAATACTGTTTTATATGCAAATATCCATGTGGATATTCAGAGTTCTGGCATCATGAAACCAAATGTTAAAAAGACACACTTATGACCGCAAAAAGAATGAACTCTTAAGTTATTTCAGACAAATAATTATGAGCAAAATGCAAGTTAAATCATATAGTGTAAAATGGTATTTTGTGATTAAGAGCTTGTAAGGATGGAGACCAATTTGTCATCCCCTAAAAACCATCACCGGTGGCCATTCATACATAATTGCTTGCTTTTTTTTGGGTAATTATTGCCATTCTTTTCCTGCTAAAAGGTACTGGACGACACATGCGGCTGCAGACTCGTTTCAGAAATAAGCTTGGCATGGAAACAGATCTCAAGTAGAGGATGAGGTCCTCACGATTAGTTAGCATGGACTGTTTTGACAAGGGAAAGATAGAGGGAGAGAGCACGACAGAAAGAAAGACAGACATCAAATCTGTAATTTCACTAGGAATATTCCAATAAACGTACATAGACAAACTATCGATTCAAAGCAGTTAAAGGAGTAGTTCACATAAAAAAAAAAAAAAAAAACTTTTGCTGATAATTTACTCACCCCCATGTCGTCCAAGATGTCCATGTCTTTCTTTCTTCAGTCGAAAAGAAATTAAGGTTTTTGATGGGATTTTTCTCCATATAATGGACTTCAATGGGAACCAAACGGTTCAAGGTCCAAAATGCAAACTGCAAACTGTTCAAAGGTCTTTAAACGATTTCAGACAATGAATAAGGGTCTTATCAAGCGAAACGATCGCTCATTTAAAAAAAGTTTAAGCTTTATAAGCACAAATGGTCGCCTTGCTCTGTTCTGCGATGCGCGTTCGTGACTCTCCTGTTCGAACTTGTTTATCAAAATGGACGAATCTTTTTTTGTGTCATTTGGTTCATTCAATGAGTTGACTCAAGAAAAGATTTGTTCATCATTTGATGAACGAGTTCAAACAGGAGAGTCACAAACATGCGTCACAGAACAGAGCAAGGCGACCATTTGAGCTTATAAAACTTAAACTTTGTTATTTATTTATTAAATGAGCGATCGTTTCGCTTGATAAGACCCTTATTCATCGTCTGGTGTCGTTTAAAGCCCTTTGAACAGTTTGCAGTTTGCACTGAAACTCTCATTTGGACCTTGAACCGTTTGGTTCCCATTGAAGTCCATTATATGGAGAAAAATCCTGGAATGTTTTCATCAAAAACCTTAATTTCTTTCCGACTGAAGAAAGAATGACATGGGCATCTTGGATGACATGGGGTGAGTAAATTATCAGTGAACTACTTCTTTAAATAAAATTAGCTGAGAAGAAGAGTGCACACGTCGTACCTCAACTTGTCTCCTTGCAGAGTTTCCTAACGTATGTTATGAGGTCTATGTGGTTTACAAGTCTGTACTTAGAAAGTCTGAACAGTGTCACTTTAAAAATCTGGCATGCAAACTGTTTTCAAAGAAATGTCACTTTAATTACTATTTCATTGCTTCAATGACAGCAAACATTTTAAAATCATGCAGGTTTATACAAACTCGAGCTGTATTCACTCAATATTTTGGGATTCAATTCTGATTCTCCTGTTTTCATTTTATTCCATTACATTTTATATTAAGGTGACGTAATTGCATTGTACTTACTCAAATAAGTGCTGAGTAATATTAATTAACTACATAACTATATCGCCCATGCAGTTAGGTTTATGGGTTGGTTTAGGGTCAGTTACTTGTGATAATGCATAATTTACTGTTATTAGTCCTGTATAATAAGAACATGTAATGTAACCGAGTCACCTAAAATAATGTGTTAACCTTTTAATCTAATATAAAAATGCAAAATATTGATTTTTTTTTTTTTCACGAGTGGTCTCACAACTTTGGAGTTCACTGAATTCAATAACAGACTTGCCACAAAAACAACGAGACAAATAAAATGAGAGGAATTCCACCCTTCCCCCATCGACGCAGACATGCACACACACACTCTATGAGCGACACTGAAAAGGGGTCATGAGAGGAAAACGTAGTCTCATATATTACGCATTCAACACTCACAGCAGGCTGGTAATGTCAGCCTGACCTAAAATTACATATCCGCTGTTATCTCTGTTAATAAGAATGATAATAATAATAATAATATTAGAATGCACAAGAAAAATTGCAGGAGACTACTATGTGTGTGTGTGTGTATATATAGTGGTACATTTGGTGATAATTGGGTGAATTAGAAACCATGCAGTGATGAATAAGACAATGTTAAATCCAAGTGTTTATGAGAAGAAAACAGATCTCTGTTAAATATTGTACAGCATCCCCATCTACAGGTCATATAGACAGCAACAGTGCTTTCTGCTCACACACAGCTTACAAATAAGACATTGTATGCCTATGGCATTTTTAAAGTATTGTCATAAAATATTAATGGGAATGAAAACAATACTGTGACTATCACATGTCTAAACGTATAAAATATATCTAAGGCAAGCAAATCGTGGCATGGCATTTGTGTTGCAGTGATTATTTTACAATCACGATTACTGATCTGTACAAAAAAATAAATAAATGGAATTATATCATGATTAAAACACTGTTTTTCCTAAACAGAAGCATAATCCTCCATTGATAAAAAAATCCATAAAGCTGCCGTGATAAAAACTAGGGCTGTGCAAAGATTAGATGCGATAAATCACATCCAAAATAAAAGTTTGTGAGCTCTGTATAATTATTTGTATTTATGCATGTATATATTTTAAGAATTATTTGCACGTAAATACTGTATATATATATAAATACTTATTCATATATGAAATATTTATATCTATATATAATATAGATTAACACATTTTCTTAAATATACATGCATGTGTGTGTATTACAAAATAATGATAATATTAACAATAAGTAACCTGATTGCCTTAAAATGTTAAGTTCAAGATTAATTTAATCACCAAAAAACTCAAAATATTATGTTATCTGAACTACATAAATTATCTAAGTTGATTTGACAAAATAAAAAATCATGAAATCATGAAAATATTTTTTTTTTACAGTGCACAGCACACACACTTTATTTTGGATGCGATTAATAGCGATTAGTCTTTGCACAGCCCTAACAGTCATCCGTTAATATCACACTTCAGATATCGCATTTTAAATAAAAACTTAATCAGACCGAACAGGACGTATACTCTTTGAAGCCACACACACACGGCACTTTATTTTAGATGCGAAAAGTTTGAGTACAAATCTCTGCATTTATCCTCAATATTTAATATCTTATATGTTTTTGTCTTGTTCCAACTAAATAAACTAATTCATTGATATCGCTTGCATGATGGACTCACGCACAATCTTGTTTTCTTCCTTTACAATGTATGTCAGGAAAAAAAAAAATCACTTAAGAATGACACACACCATGAGCCACGGAGTCTAACAGGAAAAGCAAGTAACAGCAGAATGAAAATATTAATGAAAGCTTCATTAGCATAACATCCTCTTTGAAGTCGGAGGTTCTGATCCTTGGTCTAAGTTAACATCACAGACTTAGATCAAAGACCTAGATTTAGATCAAAGTCATTACATATATATAAAAAAAACATTACTGTAACTACAGCGAAGAGAATGATCAGCACGAGAAGAGAATGCGTGGACATACCTTTTTCCAGCCAGAACACTGGTCACCAGTAAACAGGCCCAAATCCAAAGCCACGCTGCCCCCCTTCCACCCCACATCATTCTCCAAATGATGAATCCTCACTAAAGAAGAGAAAATACAAAGTTACGGTAATAATCTGCTACATGAATACACAAACAATAGCTTTGTGATTATATGGAGTGCATCAATGTTCCTTTGGAACATGATTGAAAATCTGATTAAACTTTAGACAAAAAAAAAAAAAAAATGTTTTCAAAGCAGATTTTTAGCGCAACTCACAGTTAACAATCAGCCTGTCTATGGACAGCAATTTTGTGATGCTGCATGTAACATATCTGGTAACACGTTAAAATATGGTTTCATTAGATAATGTTACTTTATAAAAATACAGCATTGTTTATTAATGTAATTTTTATAATAGTAAATGTTGAAATGAACATTAATAAATGCTCATTCTTAATGCATGTTAACTCAAAGCAGTGACTGATGTTAATTAATGCTAACCAATGATCCTTTAATTGCACAATACCATTGATGGTAGTTTAACAAGTAAACGTTCATATTCATAATTACTGCGCGTTCATGTGAATTGGTGCTTGGTGGTGGTCCAAGCCCCCGTTACAGTTTATTTATAGATTAATACTACAGCAGTTATGCATTATTAGGATTATGATGAAATAAATATGGCAAAATATACGGCAGTCATTCCGCATATGAAAAAGCCACGAGCCCGCTATACTATGCAAATGCTAAATGTTTAATCGCGCGTACACCTTTTAGACTATTATTTTGTGCTCATGCACATTTAAGGCTGTGCATCATACGAACAGAGTTCTATACATAGGCTATGAAATATAGGCAAGAGCAGTGTGTTTTCATTCCGACGGTCGGCGCTACGCATTAACGCAAATCATTACACACACGATCGGCGCTCTAATCCCACATAAACATCACACAAAATGATTTACAGCACTTCCATGATGCATGGATACATCTGGGCAACATTTCCTGACTTCACACGGATTATAATGCGTACACACTCCATAACATTCACACTTTTAGAGTTCTGTCGCGAGAGTGCATCGTCAAAAGCATGTCTCTCAAGGTATCTCCAGAATTAGTATTGGGCGTGCGCCACGGGGTTCAGTAATTAAACTGGAGTAATTAAGCAAACAGTGCACTACTATAGCCAAGTTCGCAGCAAACATGCACACCACACAACATCATAATATAAAAGTAGCTTATAATCAATTTCCAGGAATATGGCAGTACCTTTTAATGCCGTCGTTTTTTATACAATTTCCAAGACACAACCATCAAGTCACATAGGCTACACTTACGTCAAATAGATCGCACCTTATCGTCAAACTTTTGCAAACGTCTTTTATGTCTGGATGCGAGGAGATGATGCTCTGAGATGCGAGCTGTTCTGAATTTGAGCTCGAGGCTGCTGCTGCTACTGCTGCTGCTGATGATGATGATGCTGCTGAGCGCGCGCAGCTCTCGCGCACTCTTCATCGAAACTCTTCCCGGTTTACAGCAAATTAGTCATCTACCAACCCCAAATCCATAACAATAACGCTTCACTATAGCAGAGCAGCAACTGTGCTACGTCCCCGAAATGAGATCACTTGAGGTGCATGGCGATTGTGTTACAGAATGGAAGGTACCAATCTCACATCGAAAGACCAATCCGTCCTATTTTTATATGCAGCACAATTTCACTTGCACTGCTTTCGACTTAATCTCTTTCAGTGGTCGGGGATCAAATCCTCTTACATTTTACCCGGATATCGCCTCGTTCTCGCTCTCTTCCATTGCGTTGGAACAATAACACCAAGCGCATCATCTCCATCACAATTAGCATGCTATTAATTATAACACCAACGATGTTGAGCGCTGCCACGTACAAGGCATGACAGACATGCATGCACAAAACAAAACAAAATGCATGCCAAACCGCAGTGCATGCACATGCATACACCCCAAAATAAAGTGGAATGCATTGAATTTCTCACCGAAAAATCCCGATGACTCGAATCTATCTCCCCCCCCCAAAAAAATCACCTCTTCTCACTGACTCACCCACCGCCTGGAATATTGCACTGATCTTTTTAAACAAATGCTTATGGAAGATCCGCAGTCCTTACAGCGCATCTGCAGAGGAGCTTTTTTGATAATTTGCGTAGTGAGCACACAAACTAAAAGCCGGAGGGTGTTTTAAACGTGACATTAACGAGGAAAACAGCGCATCTTATTAGAGGCCACGTCGCGAGCTTCCATTTCAGCCTGCTGAGTGTTAGAGAGCGACGATGGCACGGATTGAAACACTAAGAAAGCATTCATTCAAACTCCACAGCGTCTTGACGTTCATGTACATGTTCGTGCGTGCGCGACACGGGCGCAGCTCGCGCAACTTTAACCTGATGCAATGCGAGCAACAGCTGCAACGCAAACACTTCTAGTTTTAAAGTTTTAAACATAATCAGTCAGTTTGTAACGTCTCGAATGCCGTGTTTTCATTCTGGGAATACCTGAGCATAGAAGTCGGATCTTGCGTATCACGTTTCGCACGTGACTGTGCAGACGGTGTCATGTGCGTCAGGAAAGTTTTTACCCTTCGTTTAATAAGGAACTCATAAATGATTCACATTTAGACAGTGGCAATCATTCGAATGCATGATCCGCATGACTTCAGCACCACGGACAGCACACGAGACAACAGACGGCTTTAAAACGCTCTCCAGATGAGGTTTCTTACAGCAAGCACGTGCACTGGACTGGAGCAAGGGGTTTGTACAGCAGAGGTCTACTGGATGAAACCTCTGATTAAGCGTGATATTGGATGCAAGTCATCATGTTGTTTCCAAATAAATAAATAGGTGAAAATGGCAATCATTTTATTAATATTATTGACCAGGGTTGCATGCAATGTTGTAGTCAAGACCGAACCGAGACCAAATTAAGACCAGTGCGTGTTCAAAATAAGACATGACCAAAACGAGTCCAGACCAGCACTCCTCAAATTAATCTGAAAATCCACATTAACTGCCTGATAAATGTCAATTAGAATACACACACACACTATAATCAAATTAAATCATGCAGATTGAAATTGCATCTGAATCTACATAAATTTTAGTTTTTACCTAGTATAAAATCAATATCACATTTGCAATAATGCTCATAATGCTCATTTCTCATAAGAAAACAGGTCTCTTGTTTGTGATATTGTTTAATTGTATCATATGTTATTCAGTAATATACAGAACAAGATCTGGTACAAGTTGAAATCATTTTGGTGACATTTTTTTGCGCAAAAGCAACCAAACGAGTAATAAGTTATTGATTGCATCAGGAGTTTTATATCCAATCCCATTAATTATGTTTACAAATCAATCAGATAATGCACTGGTAACTTAATGATATCCCTGCAGTTGTGGTATTGACGGGTCTTGAATGCGGTTTGAGACCGAGTCAAGACCATAGATCTTTGAAAAAATTGGTTGCGAGACAAAGACCGGTCTTGAGTATACTCGAGAACACTAGTTGCATGTGAATCATTTTCTGTGCATGGTCAATATTTTGGTTTAAAATACTCCACAGACATGGTCATAAGTAAAAACATGGATATAATTGTCCTTCTATTGTATTAGCATTTGTAGCCTGCCCTAAATGCACAGTGATTTGCATTGTATAACATAATCATAATCTTTATATAGTAATTTTAGACATTATTTTAATTATCTCAATTCTCATTCATGTCTTTAAAGTAACACCGGGTAACTTTTCAACCTTCATAATATGTTTCCAAGTCTTTTTTGATGGTACATCGACTTACAATTGTGAGTTGAATGACACGTCTGCCATAGCCTGACGGGGTCTGTAGTGTTTTTAATCGTACTTTTAAACTTCGGGTTTCGGGTAGTAACCGGCGAACAAAGAGAACTACAAAATCTGACTTATATCCGTCACTTCCACCACCACCCCCACTTCCTTAAAGGGCACATATCATGCTTTTAAATCATTCATTTTTACTTATAAATCATACATTTGTGGTCTATATAAAGCATAACTGCAATGCTTGGGTCTGAATTCCTCATTATTGTAGCTCCACAGGCCCCTTTTCTACCCCTTTTCTGATGTGCTTCTGTGAGCAAGTCGTTTCGAAGCGGCCCCTTTAAATAAAAAGGAGTTGCGTCAAATGTTTTAGTCATGGCCGAAGCAGCAAAAAAAAAAAAAACAAGAAAGCAAAGGTTTTATTGGAGCAAAGCAAAAAGAGAAAAAGAGAAAGTGATCGCGTTAAAGGCAGAACGAGGATCAACATTGGGCCAGGGTTTTCTGGCGTGAGCTGAAAGAGGTTCGAGGGCCAACCGATGTAAATTTGGCTGTCATGCTTTTGGACTATGTTGTATTGCTTGCATACTATCTCTTTATTTTTTTGTCTGCCTGACTATGTTACGGAAGCTATCTTATCCTCCGTTTATCTTCATGAATCAAAGTGATAGTAGAGTAGCCAATTATCAATCTGGTAGCGTAAACGATATTCTAGTTTTTGATGGTTAGCTATAAGATTGGTAAGGGCTACATTCTTGCAAGTAAATATATACGATGTACAAAATCATATTTTAGTAGGGATGCACCGATACCACTTTTTTGGAAAACGAGTACGAGTACGAGTACTTGCATTTCAGTACTCGCCGATACCGATACCGAGTACTTAATAAAAAATAAAAAAAACATGATTTAAATATTTTTATATACGGGTTTTTAGGTCCTTGATTAAATTACTTGGGTAACACTTTATTTCGATAGTCCACTTTACTAACTACAAGTAACTTTTCAATTACATGTCAACTAACTGTCATTAGAGTATTAGTAGACCTATTAGTACGATCAGTAGCCTATCTGATAACACTTTATTTATTTGGTCCCCCAACAGACATTCAACTGACTATAAGTAACTTGGCGACTACAAGTAAACTTATTCTCCTAATCCAAAGCCATTCACTTTGAAATTGTTCCACACCAGTGATGCACGGGTTGATCCAAAATGAGCGGGTGCCTGCGCCGCGGTCACCCGCGGTTACCCGCAGTTACGGGTCATCCAAAAATATTTTTAATGATATTCGGGTCGCGGTCGGTCAGGTCGTTTGGAAAAAAATGCCAATTAAACCTTTGTATTTATATAGTACTAGATAGAATTTTCTATGAAATATATAGGCCGAATTTATTTATTGGCTGAATAACTGGCACGAGATGACACACAAGCTCAGTCTAAACAGTTCTCAGTTCTGGTGTGATCCGAGAACCGCTGTACCTCTGCGTTCGTTACTATACGCGGATGCGCAGTATCAGCAGTATCAACAACATGTCTCAGTTCAGTGAACTGTTAGAGTTACTGGAGTAAAATATAATTCGGGATATTGGTTTATTTCAACTCGGAGGGACTGTCAGGCATGTCTGAAAGTGAGTAACTGTAGTAACTTGTGGATCAGCACTGACGCAAGACGTGAACTGATGCGAATGATTCAGTTCGATTTAGCGTACTGGTTCGACCGGTTCATTAAAAAGAACCGATTCGTTCACGAACCGGCCATGTCTATGATCACTAGTCTGCAGAGAGATGGAGGCGGCAAGAGAAAAGGTGAAGACTGGGGAGTGGAAGCTACGCAAATACACAAATAGAAAGAGTAAGTGTGGGAGACATTTACCGAAATAATGAAAGATGATGACCAAAGTGCTGCCTTTGTTATATGTAGGCTACGTCTTCTTGCGATGCTGTGTTGTTACACGTTTATGGCCCAATGACGCTACGATGAGCATGTACTACTTTTAAAAAATACGGTCAGGAAGAGGGTCGGGTACAATATTTTCTTACTTTTTTTTGCGGTCCGAGTAGCGGGCGGGTAGTTGAAAACATTGGTAGTGTGCGGGTTGTTTACATTGACCCGCGCATCACTGTTCCACACGGCTGACATGTCTCCCCATCTCCCCGCTCTGAGCTGCAGCCGGAGCCTGGGGGTGGGCACTCGGCGCCTGTGATTAACCCATTTCTCAGAACATGGTATCGGTCCCCGGTATCGGGGGACTTTTAACGAGTACGAGTACTTTAGAAAATGTGGTATCGAGGCCGATACCAGATACCGGTATCGGTATCGGTGCATCCCTATATTTTAGGGTACCTAACATGTCTGTGATATTCGTTTATTTTTCTTGCCTCAAGCTATAATGCAAATCGATTTGAAAAATTTGCAGATTCATATGGTAGCTTGATATTATATTGACGGTATATGGTTATTATCTACCACTCAAACGTTGCATTGGAGCGTCATATAGATTCAGTAAAACGGTAACCAATAGACTAGCTACTATAATGATTAGCTACTACATTTTTCGTTAGAAAAAAAATAAAACCCATGAAATTATATTCATATGACATGCTGAATTATATGCCACTGTACCTGGGATGAAGACATTTCACACACGACGCAAGCAGAACACCTGCATGTGACCTCCTCCGACAGTGTTCAGGGCTATCATAGTTGTCAACAAATGCACGTGCATGTAGGATGACAGAGTTTACGACAGCAGTAGAGGACAATACTGTTTCCCATCTCTAGGGGGAGCCCGAGAGCAAAAGCTACCTGGTGTTACTTTAACACTTTTTCTATACTTTGAACATCTGTCAACAATATTACCCAGAATCACCACTGTTTGGACACTGTTAAAATACAAATTAATGTTCAGCTACAGTGAGCAAATATTACAAGCCGCTAAACTCACTATTGAAGCTGATGTTGTGAGTATATTTCCAATTAATGTCTCACAAATACAAAGCAATGTGCCTCCTAAATGCTATTTTAACGTCACACTTGTGCATATGATCAAAATCAACATAATGCCGCATATTTTAATACATCCTTTCTACAACCAGAAACCTTTGTCCTTAAATACCCAGAATAATGAAGAAAACAAGCAAGGCTGGGACATCCTTCATGCACAGTATGCCAACAAAATATGCCAACCAACATGGGGCAGACAGTGCGCAGTTTATGTAACAGTGATTACAAGCTCGGGATTTAGTAAACCACTGCACATATTAATACTTCTCAGGCCATCTGTTTCACCTCTTGCTTGCCTTCTTTAATGTTTAATATTCTTTAATAGACATTAAAGGGGACCTATTATGCAAAATTCATTTTTACATGGTGTTTGAACATAAATGTGTGTAGGCAGTGTGTATACACAACCACCCTGCAATGGTAAAAATCCACCCACTCTCCTTTTTTTAATCCCTATAAATTACAAGGAGTGTCTCAGAACAAGCTGTTTGCAGATTATAGCTTTTGAGATTTCACAAATGCTTAGGCCCCGCCCACAACTTCTGACGGACTCTGCTGCATTAGCATAGACCCCGCCCTCAGTTAGCTATACACAGTCTATATATAACCTTATATTTATTTGTAAGACATGTATTTGTAAGATTTTTAAGAACTTAGTTTAAT